GCTCTCACTGGCTGCAACTTGGTTATACAGTGACACCTAGCTGTAGGAGAGTACAGGAAATGTGTTACTTTTCCTTGGTGACCATGTACCCACTAAAAATTGGAGCTCTGTTGTTAAGAAGAGAGAACTGATATTGGGATAAGTAACCAGTATTCTCTGCCTCATTGCTCAAGTGACTCCTCCTCAGAAGGGTTTTTATTGATTACTGTGTATAAGATATCCTTGTCACCATCTTATTACCTTGTTTTACTGTCTTTATAACATCACTACCTGAATTTATCATACTGGTCAATCTGTATCTGCCTATTCTTCTATTACTTAATTTAATCATTCATATACTTATCTATTTGAAATCAGTTCGTATGTTTATTCTGTCTTTTGCTTTAGATCCTAAGACTAGGAAACCAAGAATGTTATATGTCTATTGAATCACTATATTCTCAGTACCTAAAACAATGCCTAGTGTTTAATAGGCACTCAACACACTTATGCTGAAAAAAATCTCTGGAAAGTGAAAAGGAGGTTATCTGCTGGACACAGGCATATATGTACGCTTGGTTGGATGGTTTCAGTGGGGATAGCAGAGTTTTAGGAGACTTGGTAATGTTTAAAATGTTTGGGGAGAATGTAAGAGAAATGTTAAGTTTGGGGTGCAGTGTTAAAGACCCAACTGAGAATGATGATTATGCATTTTATGATTCAAATGTATTTTGTTGGGGTGCCTGGGTGGCTCAGTCATTAAGCATCTGCCTTCGGCTGAGGCCATGATCCCAGGGTCCTGGGATCGAGCCCCGCATCGCATCGGGCTCCCTGCTCAGCGGGAGGCCTGCTTCTCCCTCTCCCACTCCCCCTGCTTGTGTTCCCTCTCTTGCTCTGTCTCTCTCTGTCAAGTAAATAAATAAAATCTTTTTTAAAAATCTATTTTGTTACATGGATTTCACCAGCGGTGCTTGGTTTCTAGGATTCAGGCATGAGAAATGAGCAGTGGAGTTTATCTAGTGTTCAGAGTTTAGGATATTGGCAGTGTTATTGGAAATGATGTGCAATTTTAACTTTTCTTGGTTGTTATATAGAAGAGAAGGAAAATGATTATGATAAATGTTTTGCATGAGACTAACATAAAGAAACAAAGTGGTTGGAAGAGCATACTAACAATACTGAGCATTTCCAGTGTCCTTTTTGGTATAAAATGGTGTTGTTTTTTTTTTAATTTATGCAATCTCACTTACTTTTCCTGAGTGTATAAGTAAAAAATAACCTGTGAGGCTGCAAAGCAGATGTTACTATCCTTATCTTAGAAATGAGGATAATACAACTTAAAAAGTTTAATGACTTTCCCAAACACATAAAGAAATCTAGAGGAAAAAAACAGAACAGGAATCCAAATCTCCTGACTATTCATCTAATGCTGTAAAAGAGAAAGAAGACATCTTGATGTCATCTACCCTATTAATTAGCATGGTTTGAACAGCTTTAGGAATATTGGAGAATATTAGATTTCATTACATTTGCATTAACTCAAAGGAAGACATGCATAGATATCTAGTTTTTGTGGAAAAATAAGTAACATTGCTTTAAACTCATGCCACTTATACTAATAAAACCATAACTTTAGGTGGAGTAGTGTCCTGAATTTCACATGAATAATGGCTGCAAAAATAAATTCATTAAAGGAATAACATTTCATTTTGGAAGATGATAGGTGCATCTTAATGTGATATGAACATCAACTTCAGGCAGCAAGGTGTGGTAGAAAAAGCACGGGATTTGCAATATACAAATTAGAATCCTGTCTTAGCCTTTTCTGAAAATTAGATTTGTCATTCGCAATATAGGAATGATAATGACTTCTTCATAGCATCGTTGGGAGTACTCTGGATGGACTCACACCAGGAATTAAATGCTTCTGCCTCAAAACAACACATTTCTGATCACATTTCATAAATTTTAGTGGTCATATGGCCATGCCTAAATTAAAAGGGGAGGGGAGGTAAAATCCCCATTGGACCTGAAAGGAGAATGGGAGGTATTGGTGAGCAGCCTTCATGTATACCATAGTGATTTAAAAATCAGACATATAAAAATTGAAATTATAATAAATGAGATAACAAGACTTTCCAAAGCATATTTTCCAGAATTCTAGATCTAGAAAGATGTTGGTGGGTATTCCCAAAATAGAGATTTCTTAGTTGAGTATCTCTGGAAAACAAGGGGTTTTAAAGTTCAAGGTTTTTCTGTTGTAGAATTTCAGTAGGCTAACATGCATAAAGGATTTCCAAAGTGGGAGGTAAAAACTATAATATGTAGCAATCTTACTGAATCCTAGAATCCTTTTTTATTTGTTTGTTTTCTTTCTAAAGACCATTGTACGAGATTATGCTGTGCACATCCTCTCATACTTTGAGAAAGGATGACTAGAATTATCTGGAGGCTGATGAGAAGGGAGTTTCTAGAGCCTGGATGGAAATACAAAACTTCTAAGTTCTCAGGATGATTGCCTCTGAAGGCAACCCTCAGGTGCTCCATCCTTGAGAGCAGAGTGCTGGTGAGTCCAAGGTGTAGAAATAAAATCACTTATTTTAAAAGATGCCTATTGTGATATTTTCTAAGAAGAAACTGAGGGCATTGAATGCAGATTATTGTATGGAGTGTAATAAAGCTGGAGTTGGGTTAGATGTCATGGTTGTATCCCAGAGACTAAGGCCTAAGACATACTATAGCTGAGGCCAGGGCAGGTGGCTGATCTTTCTCCTGGTGCAATGCTTGTTCTTTTTTATTTTATTAATACTTCATTGTTAGTGGCACTGATAAACATTTCACTCTGAATGCTGCACCACAGGACTGATCTTATAAAAGTGTGAATGGAGATGAAAAAGTAGTGACTCGGAAGTTGTGTCTCTTTATGCACCTGTACATGGTAGGAAGGTGACAGAGGGGTCAGGGTGGTGACCCTCAACAAGTTGGTAGTTTGATTGCCTAAATGTTTTCCACTCAGGGTTTCCAGGCAAAGGACAATAACTGGAGAGTTTAAAACCTGCCCCTACCTAAGTCGGTGGCTGAATAACAATTCACAAAGACCTGGCCCATTGTGTAGAGCATGTCTGAACCTGAAAATAGGAGGTCATACAGGATCAAATTTTACTTGTACTTGCATGATATCTATGGTTTGGGGTTTATACTTTGAGAAAGTATATATCTTAAAAGATATATTACAAGTAAAATTCAAACTGTGGCAAACTTCAGTGATAACTAGCTGTGGATTTTAACGAGCTATTCCCAAATTACTTGGATTCATTGATCATCAAGTCCATGCTTTTAAAATCAGAAGTTCCATATTTATTTAGATAATTTGGACAAATAATGCCTAGTTAATATGATTTTATGAGTGTATTATGACTAATGCTTCCTCCAATATTAATATTTATTTTATGACCAAAATAAATATTATTTTAGCTTGATATTATTCAGAGCAACATGGTCTGTTTCTTTCTTTAAGATTTATTTATTTCACAGAGGGAGAGAGAGAAAGAGAGAGTGGGGGGAGGGGCAGAGGGAGAGGAAGACAGAGAATCCTCAAGCAGACTCCTTGCTGAGTGCAAGCCTGACACGGGGTTTGATCCTAGGACTCTGAGATCATGACCTGAGCTAAAATCAAGAATCAGACGCTTAACTGACTGAACCACATAGGTGCCGAGTTATGCTCAATATTTCTGTACTACATCTTCACATTTGGAAATCTGAGGAAGAAATTTCTCTTTTATTAGACTTCTCATAGGTAGGTATCTGAGGTACACATTCACAGATATGAAAATATGTAAAACTAAAAGGCATTCACAACTTTGTAAAGCATGGATTTTTAAAATTATTGGAGATTTTCAAACTCCAAAATCTGAATTTTAAGAAATGGTCACCATGATTATTTGTGTTTGGATTTTGCAGTTTCAACATCAATACGAAGTCTGCAACACTGACCAGTTTATATAAGCTGCAATTATAATCTGGGTGTGGTTTTCAACAGTCATTTTCATTTTACTGATGTGTCTCTTTTCACGATTGCTCTCAGGGTTTCTATTAATAGCTACATGGGACACTCCTAATTCTTAACTAGTGCAAGTTTCATCTTCTCCTCATTTTCTCATGTCCTCAGAGTTTAATGACTTTAGATAAGCCCACTCTCCAGTTTCTAATTGTGCTTACCCAGCCTACCCATTTTGCTTATAAAAGCAGCTATTCCCAATATGCAATCTAAAAATATATTTCAGGCTATATCATTGGCCATTCTGATATTTTATGAGAATCTGTTGAATGTACCAACTTCTCTAGACCAAATCATGACAAAAGCTATGTCTCTACAACAAAACCATTTTAAGAATTGATATTACTATTTAGAGTATTTGGCACCAATCCACCAATCCCTCCTGAAATAGAATTTAAGCAGTAAGTAACTCTACTGAAAATTGTTTTATAGGTGTTTTTTTCATAATTAGTAGAAAAAAATGCATTAATACTATTTTCACATTATATATGTGATCACAAATATAAAACAGGAGGAGGTTTTGGCAAACTAGAGGCAGAAATAAAAATAATGGACTTACCTAGGTATACTCTTTTTGTTCTTATTCTTATAATTCAACCAAAAGCATTGAATTAATTGAAATTACATAGCTTCGGGTGAAGATGACAACTGGTTGATCTTCCTTTTTCTTCTCTTCCCAAATCAACCCATCATCATCTGTTGACTTCATTTCCCAAATATCTCAAATCTTTCCATTTCTCTCAATCAGCTTTGCCAACCCTGCTGAAAATAATACACTAGAGGTACTACAGAACACTATCATCTCTTGTTTGGACTAGAGCCTTTTAGCTGGTCTCCCTAATTTCACTCTTAACCTCACTCCTACTGACCTAGTCTTCTCCTAGCAGCCAGAGAAGTGTAATAATGCGCCAGTAACTGATTTCCCATTGCGTGTAGAACCCAATTTAAAGTATTGCACCTCCCGCTCACGGGCGCCTGGGCGGTCACCCCCGTGTCCAGGATGGCAACCAAGATGTCCAAGTGTGAGCTTATCAAGAATTTCACTTCCGAGGAGGCCGTTCATCACAACAAGTTCTCCATTATAGGAACCGGATCAGTTGGCATGGCCTGTGTTATCAGCATCCTGTTAAGGGGCTTGACCAATGAACTTGCCCTTGTGGATGTAAATGAAGACAAACTGAAGGGTGAGATCATGGATCTTCAACAGGGCAGCCCTTTCTTGAAAATGCCGACTGTTGTGTCCAGCAAAGATTACCTTGTCACTGCAAACTCCAGCCTCGTGGTCATCACAGCAGGGACACGCCAGGAAAAAGGGGAGACATGCCTTAATTTAGTCCAGTGAAATGTGGACATCTTTAAATTAATGATTTCCAGCATCACCCAGTATAGCCCTTGCTGCAAAATGATTGTTGTTTCCAATCCAGTGGATATATTAACTTATGTGACCTGGAAGTTGAGTGAATTTCCCCAGAACCGTGTTATTGGAAGTGGTTGTAATCTGGACACTGCCCGTTTCCGTTTCTTGATTGGGCAGAAGCTTGGTATCCACTCTGAAAGCTGTCATGGGTGGGTCCTTGGAGAGCATGGAGACTCGAGTGTTCCTGTGTGGAGTGGAGTGAACATCTCTGGTGTCCCTCTGAAGAATTTGAACTCAGATATAGGAACTGATCAAGATCCTGAGCAGTGGAAAAATGTCCACAAAGATGTGATTGCTAGTGCCTATGAGATTATTAAAATGAAAGTTTATGCTTCTTGGGCCACTGGCCCTTCTGTAGCTGATTTAACAGAAAGTATTTTGAAGAATCTTAGAAGAGTGCATCCGGTTTCCACCATAATTAAGGGTCTCTATAGAATAAACGAAGAAGTATTCCTCAGTGTTCCATGTATTTTGGGAGATACCTTATAAAGGTAAAGCTGACTACTGAAGAACAGGCTTGTCTGAAGAAGAGTGCAGAAACACTTTGGGAAATCCAGAAGGAGCTCAAGCTTTAAAGTTGCTTGAAACTACCTTTTTGAAGTTACTGAAGGGATAGTAGTTATAGGGTTTTGTATGTTCAATTTTTTTTATAAGTTTGAATTTCAAGAAGTTGGAAACAGGAAAGGAAGTAGAGTGAGTTACCTGTTTATTTAGCCCCCCAGCTTTTTTATTTAGTATCCAGATGTCAGGATGATTTCTTTTTTTCCACAATGATTCAGTGATTGCATCAAAGAAGGTGTTTTTGTACCACTAACGTACCAGTACTTGCTCTGTGTGTGTTGGTTGCAGTTGCTCTTTGGTCCAAAAAGGATTAGGATATAGGTGTTCGTGTTACAGAAATGATAATTTTCATTAAGTACATGTTCTTTCATTCTGGATGGCTTATAAGCACTGTGTTCATTTATATACCGTTTTTAAGACCTTGTAACTTCCTCTACAATGTAAAAATAAATGTACATACAGAAGTACTTTCTGTAATGGAAAAAATAAATAAATAAAGTATTGCATAATCTGCCCCCCCTCCTCTTCCCCCATTCACTTCTTTCCAGCCCTTCCTTTTTTCTTCCTGTGGTCTGAACAGACTACATTCTTACCTTCCTCAAGGACTGTGCAAAGATTATTCTCTTTTCTTGGAATTTCCCTTTCTCCTCTTTGAAGAGCTAGCATCTTTTTATTTTTAAGAAGTCTTAGCTTACATGCCACATAGTCAGAAAAACTTTTCCCTAGTATCCTTTCTAAGGCAGGTATCACTTACTAATCTCCCCCCTTTTTTTGGTTCCTTAATAATGCTTATCATAACTTATGCTATAGATTTCATTATTTCATGATTAAGTTTTTTTTTCTGTATTTCTCACTAGAATCTGAATAATACTAAGCACCACGAGACACCATCACCAGGGATGATGCTTCTCTCACATATTACTTAAATGAGCACGTAGGTGGAAAGAAGGCTTCATATCAAAGGAATGAATATAAGAAAGGAAGGAAGGAAGGAAAGGAGGTAGAGAAGGAAGGAAGGAAGGAAGGAAAGCAGATTTGTCAGAATAATGCTGCCCACCTGGGAGGTTTGTGGACTGCAAGCCAAGAGGCTGGTTACACACCTCCTTCTTTGTTCACCTAACAGATCCCCATTTAAAAATTCCATCCTCTTTTCCACACTCATTTCACATTATTCTACTAGTGAATTGTTCAGCATAGTCCTACAAAATTACTTCCAGTATTCCATTCTTCTTTGTATTTTCCGGCCTCTATGCTTTTGTTTATGATGAACAAAGTAAGTTTCTCAATAAATGTTCTGTTCAAATGCCATGCTTCCTATGAAACCTAATCAATGTTGACTCAAAACTATCATAATATTTTATTTTAACCTTTCTTATAAGAAATCACTTTCTGGTCAATGGTTTATAATCCTTCAGGTTTATATCTTACATCTTCTGTACTCTGGGCTCCCAGAGAAAGAAAGATCTATGGTTAATTCTTCTTAATCCCTTATAGTATCTGGTGTGGTGCCTTAACCATAGTATGTTATCCATAATTTTTGTTTTAACTGAGTTCTTCACCCATGTACTAACAAATCAATAAATGTTACATGGCTACAATTTTCACTAATATTTTTTAGACCTTGGCTTTGAACAAGGCCTTTTATTTTTTTTCAGACGGAAAGTTAGTTGCATCATGATATTATAAGTGCCACTTTGGACTGATAACATAAAATATTACAGCAGGCAATTCCAATCCACTTATTTGCAGAGCATCTAAAATACAGTTATTTAGCATCTACTCCACACATAAACATTAAACAGTAGGAAAATAAATTGCTTTTTTACTCCTTATTTTTTTCCTCCTTCTAAGTACCAGTACTGTAACAATTCTGTCAAAACAAGATGCTTAATTATGGCACCTCTGCTTTGGAGGTTATTAATGTAGACAAAACTATTGACATATTATATAAGATACAGCAGAGTGAAAAGTTTAATCAGCTGTAAAAACACTGCTCAATTAGATTCCAAATATGATGGGCCATCATAGAAAAATGATTATTGATATAATTCAGAAAATAAGGTCTTGGGTGGGGAATCTTGCTGAATAAGGAAGTGAGGGCTTACAGCATTCTGTCCAAGAGGAGAAAGACTGGCTATAAAAAGAAGAGTTTGATGTTCATCTCTCTAATAGAAATCATTTGGTATCATGCCATGAATGGTGAGCTTGCAAAATGCACAGTGTGAACTAACACATACCCTTGGCTAGGAGTAGGTTCATAGCCAGAACTCAAAGCTTGATGAAAAATATACCCAAACCTTATATATTCATGGAGTGTGATCACTGTCATCTTTGACTTGTTCCTTATCATTATACCAATAATGTTGACCTCAACACTTTTTCTTGCCTCCGGGGTTTTGCACTGTTTTTCCCTCCTTGAGCCACTATTTTCTTAGGTCCTTGCACGTATGTGTCCTTCTCATCATTCAGGCTCAAAGCCACCTTCCCGGGAAGGGCTTCCATGATCACCATATCGTGTTTACCATACTCTCTCTAGTCACACAGGACACATTGCCTTGTTTCTCTTCCTCATTAACTTTGTCAATACCTGAAATCACTATTCTTCTGATTATTTGATTACTGTTTTTCTCACTTAATGTAAACTTAATACCTATAGGATGTTTGTCTGTCTCATTCACTGTTATGCTTCAAGTGCTGGAAAGATGTCTGGTATTAGTTCTTCCATCAACATTATAGAACAAATGGATGGACCTCATTTGGCATGCTATCTTTCTCCAGCATTGTGGAATTAGTCTTCAGCTTATTAAGAAAGGTCAATAATGTTATTTTCCTGCTGAGAAAATGATGTGGAAAGATTGACTAAGATCATTCACAAACTGACTGTGAAAACCTACTGGACTTCTCAAAATTTTAGAAGGAAAGGGAACATTTTAGGAAGAGAGCAGCAGAAGATGGGGAATTACCATTTAGTAAGGATCTATCATGTGCCAAGTAGTATGTCAGGTGGTTTAGGCATATTCCACACTTATTAATCATAATAATAACAACAAAATTCTTGGACCCTTATGTGCTCAACACAACTCTGAAATCTTTCATGTTATTCCATTTTCTCATTAAATCTTCACCATTAAACTTATGAGGTAGGTACTATTATTATCTTCATTGCACAGTGATGGACATGGCTTCTTGGCAGGTACTAGTTTCTCATTTAAGACAGGAAAACCAAGGTTAATACTAATTTTTTCAAGGCTACAAATCTAGTAAGTGACAGAATATAGATTTGAACACAGATATTCTATAATCTATGCTTTGCTTTTTTCATGGCAAATTTATATATGTATGTAGTATGTTTGTATTCATGTGAGGTCTAACTCTGGTCAAGGATTGTTATTGATCCTTCAAAGGGGAGTGATGGGAGATTCTCCAATTGGTGAAAAATCAGTCATTTTCGGAGTGCTTACCCATGTGCTGAAATGGAATTTTTCTTAGAGTACCCAAATAGCATAAAGCACAGGATAAGCCACAACAGGCTTACGATGCAATGGTGGGGTGTAGTAAGTGATAAAAGAGTAAGATTGACTTGATTATGGTGTTAATTGATCGGTATGAATGTAAACTCAGGAGAAAGTTTTAGGGAGGGAGTGCAAGATGCAGGCCACAGTCATCAGGAGAGGCTCCACAGTTAGGGTGAAGCTAGGGAAGGGTCTTCAAGGATGGGTAAGAATGAGGAGAACAGAGAACATCAGAGAGAGAAGGAGAGAGACTAGTGTTCCTAATGTACAGAGCAAGAAGCTGAGCATGCCGTGTGAAGGTACAAAAGAGTGGGAGAGGTTAACTACACGGGAACTGAAGAGGAGGGTCAGAGGTAGTAAGTGGCAGGTCCCACTAAGATGATGTTATTAAATGCATATCTCCTATTCCTGCTCTCCTTTCCTGCAGGCATCTTCTTGGTATGGGTGCTGGAGGCAGTGTATGAAAAGAAGGAGGGGGAAAGGGAGGCTGTCTCCTTCTTTGGCAAGCACAGCTGATTGACCACAGGAGTCTTTAGGAAACATACTCTAAGAGCAGTTTGATAAAAATGGGCCCCTCTTCAAGATGCCCATTATAGCTAGGGATGAAATGGGTTTCTGCTGTGTAGAAAGGCACTCTGCCAATATAATTCACTGTGCTTCTGATCAGTTTTCTGTTTTTATGGTTAATTGCTTAACTAGGGGCTTCTGCTTTACTTATAAGCCTGGGGATTTTTATGAGGACAAGGTACTTTCATGGACTAAAGAGACTTAAAAAAATGTCTCACCCCTTAAAATTAATTCTGGCAGAGAAAGTCAGTATATAACATTAGCTGTTTGGGAGGCATGCTATCAATGAGAAAATTTGCTGTTGCCATCGCTTTAGCAGTACAAAGATAAATTGATGTTTACAAGAAAATTATCCTGATACGCAGAAATTCTAAAGTCAGTCTTTACCAAGTGTGCTTTATTTTGTTCAGAATTTTAAAAGGTAATTAATCTATATTCAACTGATATTCAATAATTAAATCTTTGAGGAACTACCATGTGTCCTGTGCTTTCACGTATATTATTTCATTTAATCTTAACACTCTTGTAATTTTATTAAAAGACCAAGGGTTAACCTTTGGTCCAAAGTCACAGACCGTGAGTGGGAAAATTGGAATTTAAGCCTGTGTGCTCTGACTCTATGTCTTAAGCTCTTCCTCCTTCACTGTAATGTGTTTATTTTCCAGCACTATATAGTTCCCTTACCTTGCTGGGGCATCATATTCCCTCCCTCCCTCTCTCCCCTCTTTCCACAGACAATTAATGGTATCTAAGTTCCAGGAGTCATTCTAGGAACTGTAGGTACAAAAAAAAAAAAAAAAAAAGGCATTCCCCCGCACTAGGAAGGGGTTATGAATCTAGCAGGAGGACTAAGTATTTAAATAATAAATGTGGTGGCATACCAACTATGCCACGATTATTCCACGTTAGTGGAGCACAGCCTTGACCCATTTTGCAAAGGACAGTCCTAAAAGGCTTTGTAGTAAAAGTGACAGTGGAGCTGAGTTTTAAAAGATAAGTAAGCACTTTCAAGACCACCTAGAGACAAGGGCAAGCAGGGAACAGCATGTATGAAGGCACAGAGGTTTAAGAAAAACTGCAAGCAAAAGTCTCACATTTGCAAA